TCACTCTTTGCAGGATGTGATCGCCTCTCTCTGGGGGCCCATGCCCATTTCCTCCCCATTTACAAAAGGGTGAACATGATACCTGGAACAAGGGTCTCCTTTACCCCCCCCCCCCCGCAACAAGGCTAGCCACTCCACTTCCATTATGTGAAAATATATATATAGTGCTATTGTCTCTTTAAGGAGACAAACATTAATCCTAAAAGCCGTTGAGGCTTGCTTTCTTTGATCCAGCAGAATGGCCCCCAGTGCTTCTAAAAGATGCATCAATTATGTCAAAACAATGATGAGGTTTCAGCACCTAATAAGGCTCATTCTCTGCCTAGGTTTCAATATATATAAACTGCCTATCAACCGAGGATGGATCTAAGGAAATCTTAGATTCAGAACATCACAGAAGGTCTGGGTGCCTTTGTTTTGTTCTGTTGCCCCCCTCCCCCTCCTCTTGCTCCTGTCCATAATAAACTGGAACAACCCCCCCCCCTTCTTTGCCTGTACTTGTTTTCACGGCTGTTGAAAAGTCAGGACAATGACGGCAGCTTCTAAAGCAATGAGCACATGCCCCTTGGGCCAACCCACCCACAGCAGCAAATCTTTTTGCCTTTCTTTTGCAGTCATCAGCGAGTCTGCCCATTGTCTGGCAGCTCAGCTTCCTGCCCCGGCACAAATGGGAAAACAAACAGTGGGTTTGGGTGGCATCAGATGGACTGCAAGGAAGAGAGAATCAAAGGAGGCAAAGAGGGTGGGGAGACTTGACGGGAGAGTCGGTACATTTGTGGCTCTGTATCAACATCCGCCCCTCGTTTTAATCCTTGTTTACTCAGCTCAGGTAGCAGACAGGTTATCTGGGTCTTGTTGGCAACTGTCCTTCCTCATTTTTCTTCTTCATTTTTTTTTTGTAAGAAAGGTGCACACTGCATGCACAAACTTTCATACAAATCAGGATGAGCTGCCACACCCCCCCCCATTGCACCCTTGCCATCATATGCACTAGCCAGCAAATCAAAAGATGGCTAAAAAGAAAATAAATGAGCTGGTTTTGTAGATAAGCTGCCCCTTCCCACCTCGTTTCAGTTGGGCTATCCACCTTCTTCTTATTTTGAAAGGGCTGCCTACATGTACAATTATTTGATTCAGTGTCCCTTAAAAGGGAAGCAGAATCAGTTTTGTTATAACACGGAAACATTGCTTTGGGGAGGAGGGGAGTTTGTGATGTCATCAGTTTCCAGCCAGTCCTCATGGTGCACAGTCAGCTTTTGTTGTCAACACACTGATCCAGTTTCATTCGAACCTGATCCTGAAGATCATTTGTCTAAAACAAACCAGAGTAACTCCATAGAAGGATCACCACTTAATAATGGGTATCTACAGTTGCTTATGGGACGCGGGTGGCGCTGTGGGTTAAACCACAGAGCCTAGGGCTTGCCGATCAGAAGGTTGGCGGTTCGAATCCCCGCGACGGGGTGAGCTCCCGTTGCTCGGTCCCTGCTCCTGCCAACCTAGCAGTTTGAAAGCAAGTCAAATGCAAGTAGATAAATAGGTACCGCTCCGGCGGGAAGGTAAACGACATTTCCGTGTGCTGCTCTGGTTTGCCAGAAGCGGCTTAGTCCTGCTGGCCACATGACCTGGAAGCCTTACGCTGGCTCCCTCGGCCAATAAAGCAAGATGAGCGCCGCAACCCCAGAGTTGGTCATGACTGGACCTAATGGTCAGGGGTCCCTTTACCTTTTACAGTTGTTTATATGCTGAGTAGTAATAAGGAATGGTGCAGCAATGCTCTAAGAAAGCAATGTTTCCTAAACGCTCAGCCACTAACCTGGCATGTTGAGAGCCAGCCATGAACGCAGAGAAGCAAATGACAGAGGGGAATGCAATGGATGGAAAGGAATCCCTCAGAAGGTGCTGGACTCTTCTTCACTGGAGGTTCTTAAGGGGAGACTGGGTGGCCCATCTGCCAGAGATGCCTTAGCTGAGATTCCTACATTGCAGGGGGTTGGACTAGTGGATCCGTAGGGTCCCTTCCAATGCTACAATTCTATGACGCTATGAAATTGCACAGGGCTTTTAAAATGAATGAGAAGCATTCCTTTGAGGAATGAACCTTGTCCACAGAGGTCTGATTAATCTGAATAATTTCTAGAGTGGCTACTAAGGTGCAGCACAGATTTGCAAATAATTTACATGTGCTAATTTATGTGTATAGATGCAAATATAGGGGGAAATACTAGAATTTAAGTAGAAATACACCTCACCATAATGGGGAAGACTGTCTGCTCAGCCTCCTGTCCAGGGATGAAGTTGATGGACAACTTCAAGGCCCCTCCTTTTCTCTCTTCTGCCTGATGCAGGTGAAGGGTAACCAGTCTTTTTGAGAAGGCAGTGTAAAATAAATTCAGGACAACTGCCCTGGCAACCCTGCTGCAATATGGTGCTGTTTCTGTTCTTTTTGTTTAGGCATGCAGACTTGCAAGCAGGCAGAGTGGTGGGATAATATTTGCTTATACTATCAGAACCGCCTTGCGCAGATCTGTCTGTTTTGACCCCCAGTGCAATAGCAGAACTCCTCACTTTATTGTTAAAAACCTCACCATGCAGCTCCCGTGCTGTGGTTTAATTAGGTATCCTGCCCGCTTAAATTACAACATTCTTTCTGAGCAACAGCCACTGGGTAGCCTTTGGCTGTAACCATACTATGAAAAGAGCAGCCACTCTGTTTCACGGTAGTGCCAAAGCCAATCTGAAACCACAATTATATGTGGCATCACGGTAATAAAGTGGAATGGACGATGGGTGATGTGCTGCTTATTAAGCCCATGAAGGCACGTTTGCTTCAAGCAACAGCAACAAGGCTAGGAACTGTTTTCAAAAGGATCTGTAGCTACTGACTTTCCAGGAAGTCAAATGCACAAAATACGAAATCAATAATAACTACATATTCAAACTAACACAGTACAGCCTGGCTGTCCATCTAATCTATAGTCTTGTTTGCACCAGTGACCCACGATATCATACCCTCCAACATTTCTCTGATGAAACTAGGGATGTCCTATTCCATAATCACCATCATTTATTTATTCCCCACTCATCTGATTGGGTTGCCCCAGTCACTCTGGGTGGCTTCCAACATATATAAAAACTATACAGGGCTGCCTTCAGTTGTCTTCAAAAGGTTGTATCTCCTTATCTCCTTGGTTGGGGTCGCATAACTCCATACCCTCTAACATTTCTCTGATGAAAATAGGACGTCCTAAGGAAAAGCGGGACATTCCAGGATCAAATCAGAAACCAGGACAGCTTCTGCAAATTTGGGATTGTCCCTGGAAAATAGGGACAACTTGGAGGGTCTGTGATATGTCTTTGGGAAGCTCACAAGCAGGGCATGAAGGCAATAGCTCTCCCCTGCAGTTTGTTCTTCCCCAGCACCTGTTATTCAGAGGTGTGCTGCTTCTGACCTGGAGCATATAGCTGTCGCTGGCAGACTTATCCTCCATTAATTTATGTAATCCTCTTTTAAAACTATCTAAACCTAGTGGCCATCACATCTTGGGACAGCAAATTCCACAAATTAATGTGTAGAAAGGACTGATCTTTCTTTCTACTTTTTAAATATTACACGGAAAATAACATTCCCTCTCCCTAATTATACAATGTTGTATTCTCTGCTCAGCCAAGCCATAAATCTCACACTTTGTGCATCATTTGCTGCAGCTTAGATTCAGCCGTCGTTTTAATTACTTTCAAGATTTAACTATTTTCAATTTTTTTTAAAAAAAAGATTATATGCATATTTCTGTTACATATCAAAACTGCCTGGGGTAGAAATTTGATTCAGTTCACATTTAAAGCCAAAGCTTCCTAATTTACACTTTCCAAACAATATGCAAACTGGAATACAGCCCTCCTTTGAAATTCACCAAAGTTTGCAGTGTGGTTCTCCAGCCATGTAACATGCACAAAAATGCATTTGCCAGCGTGAAGTGTGCATAAAAATGCAGAGTGAAAATAACATACAAAAATTCAATATTTTAAGGGAGACGGCTTTGCAGAAAAAGTGTTTTTTCCCCAAAGAATCATAGAATTGTAGAGTTGGAAGGAAAGACCCATATATGGTTGCCTATCTGTCCATGTAGTCCAACACTCTCTACTCTGATTGGAGGAGGATCCCTGGGGTCTCTTCAAAAACTCTTGCTCATCACCTGCTACCAAAACCTGTAAGTCAACCTGGGAACTTCCATGTGTAATGAATGCGCTCTGAAACTGTGCGTGCAGGATTGCACTCTTGTACCAAAAAGACACAGGAGGGGGAAAGCAATTCCCCACTCACCATGCTTCCTGTGTCTCTGTTAACATGTGACTTCTGGGCTTGGGATCTCTGGACGGTGGGTTTCTGGCTCAGGTCCAGGTTAATGAATGCAAAGATTTTGTCTGAAACTGGCTTTCATCCTAGATCACTGGCTCTCCTGGGATGCTGCTGAGCTCCAAGATGCAGCTTGGCAGAGAAATGTTTTGGGTTGGTGTTTTTTTTTTTAAAAAAGGCTCAGCTACAAAGACTCTACCCTCTGGGCTTGCCAGACACTTTCTATTCATTTTAATTTGTGTTTTCAAAGTAGCTTAAAAACCTCGGCAAACTATATCAATAGCCGCTCACAACAGGCAATAAATCCATCCGGAAAGAAGGGGAGAACAGGGTGAAAACAACAGATCCATCATCTTCAGAAAGAAAATTAAACTCACATTGTCATGAGGGAAGGCAGGAGGAAATAATAAGATGAAAGCAGCTGACTTCCTTACAGGAAGCTAAGCTTCACAAGCCACCTTTCCCTCCTAGTTGGTAGGATGACAGGCAGGGAGCGTCACACCCCCTCACTCCCCATTTCAGTGTGAGCTGGGAGAGTGGTCCCATCTCTTTGCCACATGGCCCCACTCCTCAAACCACTAGCTAATAAGGTGGCCCCTTTTTTATGAATACACAGCTGAAATTGTGTTTATTGAAACCTGGATACATAGAAAATCCTTTATGCCACTAACACACAGGCACCACCAACTTCTTTGATTTTCTCTTCCGCCTTTCTGCTGAAGAATTTTGAGTCTTGTCTGCTCACTAACAAGTGTCCAGAGTTTATCCAGATTCACTGTAGGACTGAAGTTCTGGTAATGCCTCATACCAACTTTCCCAAAATAACCAGGATGATATTTGTCAAAATTAATTCTGTGGTGGTGCAAACCTCCAGCATTATCACGGCCTCTGGGATGCTTCCTGTGTTTGCCGATACGGCTGTGGCCATGGCTAACACGACCCCTCGGTTTCTTGGTCTTCCTCAGTCTGGAAGGCATCTTGCTGGGCCAGTGTCAAAGGGCATAAGGTGGCCCTTTTCACGGCAGGGAACCCAACACAACATGTGAAGTGGCCAGGCCGAGGGCAAACCTAGCCCAGCACTCCAAAAGTCAATAGAAGCTGAAGCCTGCCAAGACTGTTATGAAGTAACACAATTTTTCTGGTTCTCTATCAGTTTTCCAGCACCAGTTGTTTAGCCATTTAGTTGTGTCCGACTCTTCGTGACCCCATGGACCAGAGCACGCCAGGCACTCCTGTCTTCCGTTGCCTCCCACAGTTTGGTCAAACTCAAACTGGTAAAATGCGGACTTGACTATGCTACCACTCATTGGATTTGTAACTGGCTGACTGACCGAACCCAGAGGGTGCTCATCAATGGTTCCTCTTCATCCTGGAGAAGAGTGACTAGTGGGGTGCCACAGGGTTCTGTCTTGGGCCCGGTCTTATTCAACATCTTTATCAACGACTTGGATGATGGACTCAAGGGCATCCTGATCAAATTTGCAGATGACACCAAACTGGGAGGGGTGGCTAACACCCCAGAGGACAGGATCACACTTCAAAACGACCTTGACAGATTAGAGAACTGGGCCAAAACAAACAAGATGAACTTTAACAGGGAGAAATGTAAAGTATTGCACTTGGGCAAAAAAAATGAAAGGCACAAATACAAGATGGGGGACACCTGGCTTGAGAGCAGTACATGTGAAAAGGATCTAGGAGTCTTGGTTGACCACAAACTTGACATGAGCCAACAGTGTGACGCGGCAGCTAAAAAAGCCAATGCAATTCTGGGCTGCATCAATAGGAGTATAGCATCTAGATCAAGGGAAGTAATAGTGCCGCTGTATTCTGCTCTGGTCAGACCTCACCTGGAGTACTGTGTCCAGTTCTGGGCACCACAGTTCAAGAAGGACACTGACAAACTGGAACGTGTCCAGAGGAGGGCAACCAAAATGGTCAAAGGCCTGGAAACGATGCCTTATGAGGAACGGCTAAGGGAGCTGGGCATGTTTAGCCTGGAGAAGAGGAGGTTAAGGGGTGATATGATAGCCATGTTCAAATATATAAAAGGATGTCACATAGAGGAGGGAGAAAGGTTGTTTTCTGCTGCTCCAGAGAAGCGGACACGGAGCAATGGATCTAAACTACAAGAAAGAAGATTCCGCCTAAACATTAGGAAGAACTTCCTGACAGTAAGAGCTGTTCGACAGTGGAATTTGCTGCCAAGGAGTGTGGTGGAGTCTCCTTCTTTGGAGGTCTTTAAGCAGAGGCTTGACAACCATATGTCAGGAGTGCTCTGATGGTGTTTCCTGCTTGGCAGGGGGTTGGACTCAATGGCCCTTGTGGTCTCTTCCAACTCTATGATTCTATGATTCTATGATTCATGCTGGTAGCTTCGAGAACACTATCCAACCATCTCGTCCTCTGCCATCCCCTTCTCCTTGTGCCCTCCATCTTTCCCAGCATCAGGGTCTTTTCCAGGGAGTCTTCTCTTCTCATGAGGTGGCCAAAGTATTGGAGTCTCAGCTTCAGGATCTGTCCTTCCAGTGAGCACTCAGGGCTGATTTCCTTAAGAATGGATAGGTTTGATCTTCTTGCAGTCCATGGGACTCTCAAGAGTCTCCTCCAGCACCACAATTCAAAAGCATCAATTCTTCGGCGATCAGCCTTCTTGATGGTCCAGCTCTCACTTCCATACATCACTACTGGGAAAACCATAGCTTTAACTATATGGACCTTTGAGGTTTAGCAAATATCTCAACAGGCCTTCAGAGCACGGAAAGTACAGCAGGAAAGAGCCACTGTCCTCACTTCCTGCTTCTGGGCTTCCCAGAAGCATCTGGGAGGAAAAGGATGCTGGATTTGATAGGCCTTCACTTGGGTCATCTTGTGCCTACTCTGCTCCTTGGCACAGTGCTTATTTCTGACTCAGCTGACTCCCACAGAGCCAGTGTGGCGTAATGGTTAGAGTTCTGGACTAGGACCTGCGACAGCAGGGTTTGAATCCCCACTCAGCCATGAAGCTCACAGGGTGACGTTGGGCCAGTTACCATCTAATAAATGTAAATAAGTAAATAATATTTAGAAAATCAATCCAATATAATTCCTGACTGGCTACTTTCTTTCCAAGCCCAGCATAAAACTGCATACATGACAAATATGTGTTTGCAAACCTGTTATTTATTCAGCTGAAAATGTTCTTTGTCACTTTTCTACTAAAATGGCTTGGAACAAGCATCAAGATGGTCATAAAAGTCCAGACAAATAATCAGCAATAATAAAATGCAAACTAAGATTAAGTTATTAAAATTTGTTGAAGCAGAATTCAATAAGCACAGCATTAAAATCAACCACTAAAAGACTCAGAGAATCAAGAAATCTTGATTCTGGTTGAAAACTGGTGCATCCCCTCCCTTGTCTGAGTAAGATGTTCTATAAATGGGACAGAACCAGTGAAAAGTCCACCCCCCACCATTATGGGAAATTGCTCAGTTCCTAAAGAAGCAAAGAAGTAAACGTCTTTAAATATTACAAAATGGTGCGAGTGCAGGAAGTTGTGTCCCTCGTTGGCAGTGATGTCATAGGCACTGGCAAATAGGTGTCTGCGACATCTACCCTGACCCACCCCACAGAGCACCCAGTATGCTAACTCTGGCGAGAAACAGCATTTCCTAGCTGCAAAGTAATGTGAGAAGAATGCTGGGAAATCTCATTTGCCTGCAACAGGCATGCTTTCTGAGGTAAATACGTTTTGCCCCCTGTGGAAAATAAATATCAACCTCTTCTCATTTGTTTGTGTTTGGTGGAGATGTGCTTTTGTTGATGCTGTATTTTTATGTTGTGAACCACCCTGAGATCTACGGATGAAGGGCAATACGCAACATTAATTAATTAATTTCAAGCTGGTCTCTGACCGTAATAAATTTCATGTTTCAATTAATTAATAATTTTAAGAAGTGCTATTTTTCTAGAAATAGAGGTGCCGGAACACACCCCTGTTCTCTTATAATGGTAATGGCAGCCACTTGAGAGGTGCCGGAACTGAGTTTCTGTGAGTTTCAGCTGGAAAAAAAGCCTGATAATAATATAAAGGTTTTGTGGTTTTTTTTAAAGGTTAAAAGACCCACTTGGCTAGATTTTAAAAATATCTTATGTTCCCTTCATTCATTCGCCCTGCTTCAGCTTGCCATTCTAACCAATGAGATCCTAACTTGTGTGGAAAATAAATCTTAAATTGGGATCTCAAAGTCCATACCACTAGAAACTGCCCCCCCCATGAAATCATCACAGTATAATAATACGTGTCTTGTTAAATTGTTCTCTGGGCAGCGTTTCATATTTAGCTTCCCACCAGCAACCACGAGGTGTCACCACTGTGCAATGCTGGCTTCTAGTGGTGGCACCTACAGAGCACAAGGACTGAGAAACATGTTTCAACCCCATTATGGAAGTGATCAGAATGTTTCTGCATGTGGGGCTCCACATGGCTAGCAAATCCCTTACTGTGTGTGTTGTCCTCCCTCCTTGGAGAGTGTCCACATTCATACCAGCAGCTGAAGTAGCATAGAAGCCAAGAGTACAAGCCACGATGAGCTAGAAGTCTACTGATAATATCTCAACCCTGCACTCACTGAGTGGCCTTGGGCAACCTACTTTTTAGCAGACTTATAATAGGCGAATAGTTACAGTTGTTCTAGGGATAATGTGTATGAAATGTGTTGCACTATATAATTGCTAAATAATATTGTTCCTTGCCTCTCTCCCCCCACGCCCCAGGAAAGGTACATTCAATGAACCAATAAATAGACTAAAAAGTGCAGCCTCAAAGAATATAGAAGAGGGAGCATTCCGTACAGGAGATGTGAAGGAGCTGGTAATATTTGGCAAAAATATTTGTTATTCTAAAGTTCCATCCCTCTCCTTCTCCACTAACCAGCATGGTAGCTAATTGGCTTCCTCCTAGCCTTTTACAGAGCTGTTAATATTTTTATTAATTGCAGAGGTTTCCAGCTGGCCAGCTAGCTCATGTCTGGACTCACAAGAAAAATTAAGCTGCTGGTTAAGCTGAGATCTGACCCCTTTTGGCAAACTTTCTGAGAAACATTTTCAGAAAAGTGGAAAACGAGACATTTGAGACTTTAAATTCAAGGCTGGAGGGGACCTTTTGGAAAGGGGTGGCGCATTTTTGTTTACAGGAACTGACAAATAGATGGCAGATGATTATAATAGTTTGAGGGCCAATCCCTGCATTCTGGGTTTTTTCATTGGTGGGTTCCTACCAAGTTATTCCTGTTATCTAATGCTTGTGGTTTATAAGGACTTAGAATTATTTTAAAGATTTAGACCCAAATCAAATAATTTCCTGGGCAGTTTTCAACAGATTCAATCAACAGTGAAAAACAAAGGGCAAGCAATTAACAAAAAAATTTCAGAAAACAGCAACCTGACTCATTGCCCAAAGTGATGGTGCAAAGAGATGCCTTCCTTTAGCGTCACTCCTTCTGTGCTGCTTAGAATTCTGAGAAAGAAAGGCATCGGGTGATATCCATTTGTGGCAACCTGCTTCTACAATAGACTTTTGCATGAGCAAATGGTATTTACTCTTCTCCTTGTGGTCCCAAAATATGCTCCAGGGAGTTGGGGAATCCTCTGGACCAGGCTGAGGGTTGTTGTGTTTCAGGGTGAGATTAGGAAGGGGAGTTCAATTGCATTGGCTGGCAAAGGCACTGGATCTTCTTCAAGGGGTGAGAAACCTATGGCGGCCCAGATGTTGTTTAACTACAGTTCCCATCACCCCAGACAACATGAACAATGGTCAGGGATGGTGGAAGCTGCAGCTCAATTTCTGGAGAGCGATAGGTGCCCCACCTCTAATATACGCAATGAACAGATCCATACGATAAGCTTTTATCAAATTTTATATTGTCGTAACTATCATAGCTCACCCAAAGAATTCTGGAAATTATATTTTGGTGGGTGGAGGGTGCTGTGAATTTTCTGAT